ACTGACAGGCCACTCCCAGACAGCGTAATAGGATGTACGGTGTTAGTGTTGGGGCCGAGGGACCCGGGGGCAGGATGGGGGGCAGGCCTGGGCCCCCGCCCAGGGGAGAGATGTATGTCGGTGGTGCCCCCGGGACCGGGGGCCCGGGGCTGAGCCGGAGCTGGTTCAGGGTGAGCGTCGCAGGGGGCGCGGGCTGGAAGGGGTTGGTGACGGAGGGGCCGGTGGCCGGGGCTCCTGCAGGAGAGAGACGCACAGCGCAGTCAGGGCCTGCCTGCGGGAGGGGCCCCCCACACCCCCCTGCCCACGGGGGGCCCAGCACCCCTGTTCCTGCCAGAGGGAGGGGCCCCCAGCACCCCTGCTCCGAGGCCACTCACCGCTGGGCAGGAAGGGGTTGGAGGCCTTGGCTCCCGGCAGCGTGGGGCCCGGCCGAGTCACCAGGGAGTCCAGGTCCACGAGGGCTGCGTTGGGCCCCAGGAATGACTCCGGCGTCTTCCGTGTGGGCGGCGTGGGGGTCGGGGCAGCCTTGGGCGGGGGGCTCCCCACAGCCTCGGCCAGAGAGCCCTCGACCCCGCTCATGTCGAAGGCCCCGGGGCTGCGGGCAGGCACCTCCCCGGCCAGCAGCTGCAGCTCCCCTGGGAGGGCAGAGGGCACAGGGTGGAGCGGCAGAGCCAGGCCCCAGGCCCAGGGCAGGGGACACCACGTGGCGACCTCCAGAGCAGAGCCTGCTGGGCCCACACGCGGTGGGAGGCGGGCTGGGGCTGGGGCTGGGCTGGGCTGGGGGCCGCGTCCTTGGCCCTCTGCTGTAAAGGCTGACCCGGAACCCCATCTAGTGCTGAGACAGGCACACGGGAGCCCCAGAGGCCCCGCTTCACTGCAAGAGGGACCACAGGGGCCACAGACAGACTGCGGGAACACGGTGCTACCTGCCCCCGGGCAGGGGGGAGGGGCAGGGGGCAGGGTAGGTGAGGGAGGGCTGCACAGGGCACACGGAGGCACCTGGGAGAACCGCCCCGGCAGGGAGGCCAGAGGCCCAGGCTGAGCTGAGGAAAGGAACCTCTTTATGCTGTTGTCCCAGTTTCCTCTAAGCCTTGAATACATCTACATGACACATCTAACGTTTGTTGTACTATGCGGATGGCGACGGCCAGTTAAGACTCAACAAATAAAGCTGTTTTTATACAAAGATGGGGCTTGGGGCCTGTCCAGGCTGCACACCCGCCAACTCTGACCCTGCCTGGGCAGGCCTCGGGGAGCGGGCACGGGGTAGGGGGACCCCGGGGAGCGGGGCACGGGGTAGGGGACCCGGGGAGCGGGGCACGGGGTAGGGGACACGGGGGCGGGCACGGCGGGCGCTCACCTGTGCTGCTCCCTGAGGTCGGCAGGGCTGTGCGTAGTCGGTCAAAGTCAGAGAACTCGTCAGGCTCTGTGTCGAAGCCCCCGACCACTGTGGGGGTCACAGGGCCATGGGGGTCGGGAGGTACACTCGGCTCCCGGGGCCGCCCTCCCGCCCCTCCCTGCGCAGGGATTGGGCGACTCTTCACTGGAAACTCTGCCCCCGCCCAGCGCCCGCCCAGTACCTGCAGTGCCGTTGGTGCTGGGCTTGGCAGGTGACCCCCCCCAGGGGTCCGAGAAGGCCGGGGCTGGGGCCCAGGGATCAGCAGCTGGGGGTCCACCGACCAGGGCCCCACCTGGCGAGAAGGAGGCGCGTGAGGGGCTGGGCCCACCTGTGGCAGATGGGGGTTGTCTCCTCGAATCTGTGGCTCCAGGCCCCCTGCCCTCACCCCTCTGTGCCAGGCCCAGCCCCTTCCCCCCCATCAGGCTGGGTCCAGCCAGGAAGACCTCCCCTGTGTCCACCAGCCTCCCTGTGACCTTTCAGCCGCCCCCGCCCCCACAACCCCCACTAGGCTGTCTCCTCGGAGCTACCTCATGCCCAGGACTGTGCCCGGGGCCGGGGCTGGCACTCACCGTCTGAGCTCCCCCACGGGTCAGGGGTGGGCCCCTCTCCAGCTGCAGGGGCCTGGGTCCCACCCCAAGGTCAGCCGGGGGCCCTGCAGGGGCAGCAGGCCTCCAGGGGTCCCCGGAGGCCGGGGTAGGGGCCGGGCCACCCCAGGGATCAGCAGCTGGAGGAACAGGAGGTCCCCCCCAAGGGTCCGAGGCAGGGGTGGCTGTGGGGATGGCAGTGGCCATGGGTGCTGGGCCCCCCCAGGGGTCCGAGGCCGTCGGAGGAGCCGGGGCCATAAAGACATCAGCGAGATCCATGAGGGACGACTGCAGAGAAAGGGGGGAGGGGTGAGCAGGACAGGACTGAGGGGGAGACAGCACCCAGAGACGGAACGAGGCCAGCACCCCCGATCCTGGTACCTGAGCCCAGCACCCGGCCCTCCCTACACCCTTCCCACCCGCACCCCCCCCCCCCGTGCCCACCACGGCCCTTGGACAAATGAGGACAGCGGCCAGAGACGCCCACGCCCAGCACCACGCCCGCTGACCGGTGCACCCCAAGTGCACCCGGCCTGGCCAGCGCCTCCGCATCACTGCCCGCTCCAGGCTTCCCCGCGCTGCACTCCCTCCCCCACAGGTCCCGCGTCCTGGCTGGACTCGGTGACAAGACCCTGTCCTGGGATGTGGAGGTGACCACCCCCCAGGATGCAAGCAGCACAGAGGCCCGTGCCGGGTGCCGTAATGGCCGGGGCTGTGGGTAGTCGGTCAAAGTCCCGGGGAAGCTGAGCTGTGCGGGAAACTGGCAAGAGTGTTGGCCCCCCAACCAGGAGCTGTCCGCCCTCACTGGCCGGGGGTCTGTCCCCACCCTGGGAGCCAGGACCAGTCTTGTGACCCAAAGCCACGGCCTGGGGAGGCTGGCCTTGGTTTGAAGACACCGGGTAACACAAAGTGCGAGGCCACAGGATAGGGCAGCTGGGAAACATGCCCCCATGCACCCCAGGGCAGGGCCCACACCTTCCTCCCCAAACTTACCTTCCTCCTGGCCCCGGGTTTCCCGCTTTGTGTTTCCTTAATGGCCAATCTGGAGGCCTTAAGGCAATCCCCACGGGTGGAATCCGTCTTCTCCTTTTTTTGGGTCTTCAAAGACAGGGGGGATGGGGAAGGTTA